GTTAGGTCATTTATTTGTTGACTTTTTCTTATTTTAAGGAATCAACTCTTTGCAATGAACTTTCCTCTTAGTATTGCCTTCATAGTGTCCCAGAAATTTCAATATGTTGTGTCAGTATTCTCATTTACCTCAGAATTTTTAAATCTCCTCCTTGATGTCTTTTGCAACCCATTGTTCATTCAGTAGCATATTATTTAGTCTCCAGGTGTTGGAGTAATTTTTATTTTTTATTTTATCATTGGTTTCTAATTTCATTCCATTATGGTCATACAGAATGCAATGTAGTATCTCTGTTTTTTTGTATTTGCTAAGAGTTGCTTTGTAGCATATTATATGGCCTATTTTAGAGAAGGATCCATGTGGTGCTGAGAATAAAGTGTATTTGCTTGTTGAAGGATGAAATATTCTATATATGTCAGTTAAGTCTAAGGTATTGATTGTATTATTGAGTTCTATAGTTACTTTGCTTAGCTCTTGTTTGAAAGATCTATCCAGTGGTGAGAGAGGTGTGTTAATGTTACCCAAGATTATTGTATTGTGGTCAGTTTGACTGTTGAACTTGAAGAATTTGTTTGAACATAGATGCTCCATTGTTTGGGGAGTATATATAATTATTATGTCTTGTTGCTGTATGGTTCCCTTGAGCAGTATGAAATGTCCTCCTTTATCCCTTTTGATTAACTTTAGCTTGAAGTCTATTTTATTTGATACGAGGGTGGAAACCCCTGCTTGCTTCTGCAGTCTGTGTGAGTGGTATGATTTTTCCCAACGTTTTACCTCCAGTCTGTGTATGTCTTATATCTTTTCCTAATAGATGAGTCTCCTGGAGGCAGCATATTGTTGGGTCTTTTTTTTTTTTTTTAAATCAAGCCTGCTAACCTGTGTCTTTTGATTGGTGAGTTTAGGCCTTTAACATTCAGGGTTATTATTGAGACATGATTTGTATTCCTAGCCTTTTTTGTTGTTGTTATTTAATGACTTGGTTTCTCCTTTGATTAGTTTTTCCTTTAGTGTAATACCTCCTTCTGCTGATTTTCATTGTTGTTTTTCATTTCCTCTTCATGGATGTTTTGTAGTGCCAATTTTCTAGTTGTAAATTCTTTTAACTTTTGTTCATCATGGAAGGTTTTTATTTCATCATCAAATCTGAAACTTAATTTTGCTGGATACAAGATTTTTGGTTGGCATCCATTTTCTTTCAGAGCTTGATACATGTTGTTCCAGGATTGTCGAGCTTGCAGATCCTGAAGTTATCCTAATTGGTTCCCCCCTATATGTAATGTAACAAAATTGGAGGAAAAGGGAGAAAAAAGGTATATACTACACAAGTATAATATACTATTAAGATGTCCCAGTCCTCAAAATCCTAATTCATGCAAAGTACTTGGTTTCACATATGTTGGAGATGTGAGGGTGGGAGAATAGAAGAGGAGAAGACAAATCTCGAAGGAAGAAACCAGGATTATTAATTTTTTTGGTTGGAGATGGGTATCTTTCCTGCTTGTCTTCTCATCTAATAGGTGGGGTTGTCTGTTAGCTGATATCTCCGCCCTAAGGATGGTGAAGGTAACCAGGATGGGGGCTAGTCCTGGTGCAAGGTACCTGGAAGTGAGGTGTAGCACCCACCAGCCCCTTGAGGGAGACTGCACCACAATAGTCTCTTTTTGGATCCGCTCATTTGACTTGAGCACCAGGTCCTGTCTCCCTATCTTGCCTCAAGATTTCCCAGTTCCTGATCTATTAGTCTCCACACTGTTGCAACCATTCCCTTTATCTTAATAGTTCCCAATTAATGGGCCTCTCTCACTGGGGCTTCTGTGGGCAGTGCCCTGGTCCCACTGAGCTGTTTTGTGTTAGGCAGTTACTGTGTGGGATTACAGGACACTGGGGAGAGGGAGGAGTTGGAAACCGGATACCTGGCCAGCTGGAGTTCCAATCTGGAAGCTGCCCCCCCCCCATCAGAGATGGCGAGGAAGGGCACCTAAGATGGAGGTGGGCTGCTTCCCATGGTGGGGTGTTGGGTCGAGCGACACAAAAATGCTGCCTCCCTATGGCCCACCATCTTAGATCCCCCAGATTGGAATCTTGCAATAATTTTTTCTGGGTTTGTTTTTTTGACACAACTTACTGTGTCTTTCACATGCCAGGCTCTACCAGGCATGATTTGTGATTTCTTGATGCCAACACACAGATCCTTTCAGACTTTCAACTTTTTCATATCTGTACCTTAATATGTATAGGTGCATTTAGTGTGCATTATTTTCTGCTAAAAATATTATTTAATCAAATAGATGGTGTTTTTTTTCATTATTGGTATCTTAGAGGAAAGATTTACTGCTGTGTGACAAATAACTCTTAAATTTAAATTAATAACTACTTATTACATTTCATAGTTTATGTTGGTCAGCAGCTTGGGACACAAGGAGGTATTATCTCTGTGATGTCTTGGACCTTAGCTGGAAGACTTATGGACTTAAAGTTACAATCACTTAAAGCCTTATACATTCCCGTGTGAGATTTGCTGAGGTTATTGGCTCACACAGGGACATTTAATGAAGAGATAATGGAATAGAAGCGACTAAATGGAAAATCTTTAATATTTTTCTTATAAACAGAAGGTTTTTCCAAGCTCATAGGGGCTTTGAAGGAATTCACTCATCATTTTCTGATAGAGGCTAGATTTGAGTTTCTGATTGGAGGGGATTTTGGAGATCTGAACTTTGGGGTGTGATCTTTGGACATTGGAAAGAGCAACCTGTCATTGCCATCATGCATCTGTTTCACATCAGAGCCTGCTTTGTTCCTCAGTGTTCATGATGATTTTCACTCTACTCCTTACTCTTTCCCCATCTCCACACACATTGAGGTTTGTAATTCTTAGTGCCTAAGGAAGCATGATAGTGGCATTTTCGCTGCATTTGATTTGGCAACTTGATTGTCGGCCATCTCCAAGTACTCCTTATTCACCATCTCAGAAGTTCTCCTCTTGCAATGCTTTGAGAATTCTGACCAGATTAAGAGACTACTCTCTTCAAATTCCCTCTTATTGATCTCTGAGATAAATTGTTAGATCTAAGGGAATCCAGCAGTGAGTGATCTCTTCTACCCTTCTCAATGAGTTGAAGGCTCAAAGAATTAGATGAAATACTGTCTTTGGAAAAACAAGCTGCTCTTTCCTAAAGAGGAGAGTTTTAATAACATGTGAATTTTGTGTTTAAACTTTTTTAGAGACTAGCAGGGTAATTTCTTAAGGCCTTAAGTCTTAAATTTCTTAAGTCATTGAGGCTGTAAATATGATGTTTAATATTAATGTTAATATAGAAACCTTTAGGTCTTTTGCTGAAATTAGGTTAAGCATTTCCTTAGCCCAAGTTTTAGAATGTTGATTTTTTTTCTAAGGGAATTTTATGTATCTTGAGGCCCAATATATCTCAAGGAATATTATCATCATCAACAGTTTTGATCTGCTATATATTCTAGTTGTCAGGCACTAAAACAGCTGTTAATCGCATCTTGTTTAACAACCTTGTGAGGTTGGAAGGAAAATTCCCATTTTATAGACGAGGATACTGAGGGCTACATAATTTAAATAACTTGGCCAAGGTCACATACCTAGCGAGTAATAAGCAAAGCCATCTTACTTGAAATCATTGTGTGGGGGAAGTTGGCCAGTGTTTGTGTAGCTATAGAATTTCTCACAAACTACTGTCTATAAAACTAGATATGTTCCACAAGTGGATGCTTGTGGAACATTTCATGTAAAGAGTCTTTGTCCTGAATAGGGAGGCTTGGAAGTATTACAGTTCCTAATAGATTTAATTCATTCCTTCCCTTCAGCTCTCCTACCAATCCCACCATTCAACTTACCTTATGTGAAGGCATTTGTAAGATTTCTGTTTCAGAAGTTTGTGATGATGACTTGGCAAATAACCCCACCAGATTATTATAGTATTTTAGAAAAATGACTTCTTAGACGTTTGACACATTGTCACTTGTATAGACTTCAATGCAACTCCTAGTACAAGGGCTGGGGATCTATTTGTCAACACAATATACTATACAAAAAACAAATCATTGCACTTGTCAAACATTTTGACTATATGGTGGTAACCATCTGGATTTATGGAATTTCTCATGGATTTTCATTTTATTATCTTGTTTATTAGGTAAAGAGGAATGTCTTATTCTAAGAATTTGGAGGTTTGCAAAGTTTCAGTGGTTATAATAATTGAACTGCTAGACTTTTAAATCTTTCATTTTATAAGTCTTTGTATTAAATCCAGACTATTTTTAGCTGGGTGTGTTTATGATATTCTCCAGTGTTTAGCACTCTGGAGTTTTTCTAAATCAATGAGTGGATTGCATCATGGATGCCCAATGTGGTGGTTTTTTGGATGCGGTGTAGCCAATGGCAATAGTTATGTGTGAAAGGGGGACATATCAATCATGTTTGGGATTTGGATTTTATAAAATGGGTTGTTCCTTAGTTAACTCAGATTAACTTAAATTTCTTATTTTAGAAAATCCATATGGGCACCCAAAAGAGACAAAAATGACATCTCCAGAGTTAATCATAGTTAACATTTTGATTTGGTTTATCCCTGTGTAAATGTACATTCACATAGGTTTGTCTTACAAATATTAGCCTATACTATAAATATTCTATAAATTATATTTTCAGATGTAGCTATTCATTAAATTGTCTTCTATAACATTATCTTTAATGCCTGTAAAATTCTACTGGGTGGCTATTTCAGAACTTTTGGACATTGGATTTTTTTCAGTTTTTTTTTTCTTTTCTCCTATAATCTTGCAGCAACTGACTGATAGAAATATTTTAAATTTTTGACCACTGAATTTCTCCCTTCCCACACTATATTCAGTAGAGTGTGTGTGTGATATGTGGCTGCTTCTCTGCCCTAAGAAGGCCCCCAGCCACAGAAAGCTGTGGAACTGATCTCTGCTGACAGCTCATCTACATTTACAATTTCTTCTTGTAGGAGACAGAGCACGTGGGGCCCAGCCAGTTGGAGTGCCAGGGCAGAACAGGAACGCCAGTTCATGAGAGTCCACAGAACAACACCTTCAGGTGTCAAGAAGCAGTTCGACGTCAACCAAGGTGGGTCCTCTGTTGTCAGGAGCTGCACTGTGCCTGGAGTTTGTTTTCCAAAAGTACTAACTTGTGTGATGCCACCACCATACAGTCAAGGCTTTCTGATCTTTGGCATTCCTTATAGTCTGAGAAGGGGCAAAGAGAAACGTAAAGATCTACTTTCCCTTTCTATTTGAAGATAATCAGCGTTAAGATTCAAGGAAGAGTGGAGATAGGTCCTCCTTTGGGGGAGAAATATTGATTTAATTTATTCTGCCCCTTTCATTTCATGGCAGAGGGATTAGATTTTCTTCTGGGATAATGACAAAATAGTGACGACTGCGTACACATCATGCCAGTTACTTTTCAACTCTGATCTCATTTAGCCGTCTATACTTGCTGAGAAAGCTAGTCACTCATAGTTCCATTTTGTGGAGGAGGTTGAAGCTGAGAGACATTAAGGCCCTTGCTGGAAACTGCACAAGATAAAAGACTGAACCAGAGGTAGGAGGATCACAGGTTCAAGACCAGCCTCAGACCTGTCTCAAAAAATAAAAAGGTTTGATGGTAGAATGCCCCTAGGTTTAATCCCCAGTACTGTGCCCCCTCCAAGAAAAAAAGGCTGAGTCAGAATTTGAACCTACAAATGTCAGAGTGTGGCATGGCAGGTATAGTTTCTAATGCTTCTATGCTGACCCAAGTGTCCAGTGACCTTAGTTCTGAAGTAACCCATGGCTGGCCTTTGTAGCCTATCAGATCTGCTGGACCCAGGGTAAGGATGTGGGTGGAAATCTGCCTGCAGAAAGGTTGGCATGACGTTCTGATGGGAGACTGGCACCGCAGCTGTCTATGGAAAGTCTCTTCTGAAAATAAACAGAAGAAAGAATTCAACTGTGAGTTGTGTCAGCTGTTTTTGTAGGATCTTGTGTGTGGTGTAATCATAGCCCTCACTCAGTGGAAAGGGAGTGTTGTGCCTCTGAGTTTGACCTTTAGATTTTTTTTTTCCTAAGGCAGCACAGTCTAAGTGAACCAACTACAGAGAGATTGGCTGTGCTCTATAATCATGCTTTAAAACGTTCAGCATACTAAATTTAGAATCCTAGAACCCTAAAGGGTTGGTGGGGACCTGCAAGGAAAAATGACCCACTAGCCAAGTGAATTCACAGGCACCTTCTGAACTCTCCTCACAAGTTGCTATCTCTTACCTGTTTATTCTTATCTGACCTTAGATAACACCTGTTGGACTCAATCATATCATTTCCTCATGGATAAGAATATTCTCCCTACTATTTTAGGCCTAATTGTAATTAAAATACTTTTAGCTGGCTAGAATCAACTTAGGCAATGACCCTGTCTCCCTGCACTAGCCTGAGGACTGCATCTCAGCAAGAATAAGGTCAACTAGTTCCCAAGCATATTTCAAAATAGTATAAGAGCAAAACAAACACACAAGACCCAAAACTAAATCATTCAGGCTTGTGTGTGGAATGTATGGCGGTCCCTTGGGGGTGGACATTCAGCAGAAGCTGATAGGGAAAAATGGTATTGGCAATTAACTTTCTTAAGTTTGCTTAAATATGTCCTATTGATGGTAGGGATGCTAACGATAATTTTAATGTTGTCAGAGGGCAAGTCTGAAATCTAGTAAGATTCTGTGGCGGAGATCATTCATATGAGTAGTTAAAAGCAAAGAATATTGATTTTAAGATAGAATTATTTTAAATATTCCATTATTGGGGCGGGGAGTTGTACTTTATTCAAATCCTCAGATTCATAGTAACCTGCCACAATAAAGAAAGAAAATGCACACCCAGACACACATAGGTTGGGTAAAATTTTAGGAGGTTCCTGTACCTTCTCTACATAATGGAGGGGAAAAATCAGGTATGGAATGACCTTTCTCATTAAGTCTGAGGACCAGAACATAGTTTTATTGATTGGCAGCTTCTCCGTATACACGCAGATTTGGTTTGTCTACAGCTAACCTTTAACAAACCTTTATAAGATTCAAAATACTTTGTAATCCTTTTCCTCTTCTAGCTCCCAATGCCCCACTTTTACGATTTTCATACAATCTAGGTTTCTGAACTAGCAGCACTACAGAATCTTCAATGCACTGGTGTCAGTCAGAGGATCTGATCTTAAGTCATAGATGGGGAGTGATGCTAGGCCAGTTCTGTCTAGAACTATTAGGTTTAGCATTTAGATTAGGTTGGTAACCTTTAAACTACAGGGTTATTCATTATAATTATGATGCATTACCCAAGGACCTTCTAATGGAATTTTTTAAAAACAATACATACCTCAAAATATTACTGGGATTGTGAAATTTGATGAACAGGTGAAAGAAGATCTGAGGCTAAAAACAACTTTGAGTCAGGTAGCTCACATTCCTGATAACATTCCTCTTCTGTCTTAAGCCAGGATATGGCCAGGTTCAGACACATCATGCCCAGTAAAATCTTGATAGAGACATGATACTGTAACAGGACACGCCAGACCTTGGTCTGGCTGAGAGTGAGGGAAGAAGCCAGGCTAAATCTCAGCAGGTGTAAAATGCCACCTTCTTGGAGGTGGGGGTGTGCAGCATAGGGAAAAGGTTATTAACATAACCAACCCCACAAGTAAAGAAGGAAAATCATTCTGTAGCAAGGAGCCACAAAGGGTTCACATGTCATGTGGCTGAGACTTGAAGGAGCAGCTTTCAGAGAATTAATTCATCCTTTTAAAAGTGGGATTTCAGAGCTTTTCAAGATCATGGGGTAGGTATTGATCTTTCCACACAAATCTACAGCTTATACAATTTGTTGTACCTTGAGCTCTTTCCAGCAAAAGTAGCTGTGTCTTTGTCTGTAGATGAGCTTCAGAAAGATGTAGGAATGCTTTTGCCAAAGTCTCAGAGTATATATACTACATTGATTTTTTTTCCCCGATTTTAATGTAGTAAGGGACCACAACTTGAGGCTTAAAACAAAACAAACTTATTATCTTACAGTTTTGTAGGATAAAAGTCTAACATGGCCCCATGGGCCAAAATAAAGGTGTCAGCAGGACTGTATTCCTTTTCAGAGGCTCTGGATCATCCATTTCCTTGCTTTTTCAGCTTTCACAGGCTGCCTGTGTTCCATGGACCATGGCCCTTCCTCTGTGTTCAAAGCCAGCAGCATTGCATCTCTCCGGCCTTTATTCCATAATCGCATCTCCCTCTTGACAAGGGCCAGGACAGATTTTCTGGTTTTTAGGGATTCATGTGATTAGATTGGGCTCATTAGGATTACCCAGGATAATCCCTCTATCTCAAGATCTTTAATTTAATCATATCTGCAAAATATTTTTAACTATGAAGTAACATGGTGGGGGTGGAATGGGTAAGGGAGGAGGACATGGACATCTTTGGGGAGTCCTTATTTGGCCTGCCACATTTAATTTTTCCTCAGAAAATCCCTGAAGAAAAGCATATGGAGTTAATCACACCAAAGAGCTTTAACATCACTGATTTGATATCTTTTACCCCCGAGTTTGCTTGCTCTTCTGAATTTCCTAGCGGAGCTAATCTCACTTCCTCACATCATTTTAGCCCCTTGGTCCTTCCCATTTACCGAGCCCCCCCCCCCTTCTATGTTATGTCCTTCCCTATGTTATGTTCCTTGATGGTAGAGTGTGCTACATCCAAACTTTCAGGTGTATTTGGTGTGGAGACATGTTTGACTTATACAATGTTTTAAAATATTTTGATCCAATATTTTAAAATTGAGAGATTTTATAGCTTTTCACTCTTATTTGGAAAAGTCTGAAGATGGGATAACCCCAAGCCTTGATTCCTCAGGCAGCAATCAGAGCTGAGGACCACCTCTACATTTTTTTCACACCCCCATTTGGCTCTTCCCATTTGTTTGTGCTCTTAGCCTGTCTCCTACAGGCATTTGATTTATAAAGCCTGCTTCAATCTTTTCTTCCCAGCAACTGCTCATCCTGGGAACTCTGACTGCCTGAAGCTAACTCCTAATATGGTGCTGGCTGATAATCTTAATGCCACTTTCCCCAGATGGTGGGTTTACATTTTAACGTGGACTTTCTGTGCATAGGAGTGGAGGGCATTCCACTACATTACACTACGGCATCGGCTCAATTTCTGGTGCTTTTCCAAACATGTAAAATCGTAGAACTGCATTTAGCTGGAGCTGGAAGAAGCCTTAGTGATAGTTTAATACAACTCTCTCATTTTCTAGTGAAGCAAATCACAGCGTTGCTGGGTGCCAAAGTTCTTACTCCCCTTAGTAATTGAACCAAAAAAATCATCATCGATCTGTTTAGAGCAGCTGCTTGATGCAATATGTAGCAGTCTGACTGATTTTTAGCTAAAGCCAGTGCCAATCCTATAAACCCTTAGATATGACAAAGGGGAATTTGTGAATGTCAGAGAATACTAGTGGAGTTGGGGATTTCTTACCCAGCTAAATTTATTTTTGAGAGTGATTAATCACTTGTATTTAAAATGTCTTAAAATTTGTGACAGAATTATACTTTTCATGTTATTAAAGACTTTGTATAAATAGCACTGTTACTGCTAATTAGGCAAGTGGTTACATTGATGAGTTCCAGTTCACTGACTTTTTTTCTCTGGAAGTCTCCTATTAGAAGAGGTTGAAGATTCTTAGCAAGAATAATGGTCTTTGATGGTTTCCAATATTTTTGTAATATCCAGATAAAAGAAAAAAAGCTGGAAAGTTTTGTTGCTTTTCAGAAAGAGGAAGTTTTGTTGGCAGCAACTTTTCCAGAGGGGATAAATTCTTTCATCTTTTTTTTTTTTTTGAGATGGACAACTGTGTGTGTGTGTGTGTTTCTGATAAGCAGATTCTCTCCGCCCCTCCCCTCCCCCCATTACTGGGGATTGAACCAAGGGTGCTCTACCACCAAGCTGCATCCCCAGCCCCTTCTAATTCTTTTAAGATAAGATTTCACTAAATAGTCCAGGCCAGCCTGGAATTTGTGATCCTCCTGCTTCCAGAGTAGCTGGGACTACAGGT